TACATTTATAACAAATGTAAAAAGCGATCAGATTATTGTTTTTTTTTTTTACTTTTATTGCGGTGTTAGCACCTACACTGCTATAAATGGGGTCATTATGGATAATGGCAGAATGCAATTTATTTCATATCTATATTTGTGCAAGGGACATGTGTAGATTATATTTTATTGTGATTGGGGGCTTCGGATCACAATTGCGTAAATTATTATCTGTACCCGAACATATGTGTTATAAGGGTTGAAATAATCAAATTGAGTATTTGACTGTTAGATATGAGTCCAAGGGTTTTGTATCTGTAAATTATATTAAAAAGTATGTATATTATCTGAGGATAACATTTTACACAGTGATTTTTTTAAATAAACAGACAAAATATTTTTAAAATTAAACTTACTATTCAATTGACGTAAAAAATATATAAGCTCCATTGAAATTTTATTACTAATCTAAATTATAAATAAATTTGCTAATATTAGTTTCTTTAAAAATATTTTTGATATAATAAAAGAGAGGGTGGGTAGTTATTTTAATAATAATGTCACTTATAATTACGATAAATTAATAATAATTTATAAAGTACATTGCGATAACATTGTTTATGGTACAAACATCCTTAAGTATATCTTTGATTTATATAAATAAGAATATGGAGGAAATTAAGGAAAAATGGTCTATTATTACTCAGTATCTCGTAGTTCGTACAATAACTCGGTAACGTTACACGTGTATCTTCTATCTTCATTTATCTATATCTGTTAATGATATATCGTATCTATAATATTTATTTTAAAACATCGATCTTCAAATCGGCCTTTTGAAGAATTGATTTATGAGTGTGTATCTCAGTTGTATCTTTAAAGGAAGCAAATGAGATATCTCTTATCTAAAATACAAATAAAATTTTGAGTTTATTTGTCTTTTTTCTATGATAGACAAGGACAGACAAGCACGGTTAACTTTATAAAGGCGAAGTACTTAAGGGTTAAATATAATACTTATATAAATATCTAAATATGTGTTTTCATTTTATTTAAGACTTTTGAAAATTCTAGCCGAAATCGAAATGGCTTTTTCGTCTATGGACGTGATAAATTGATATTTTGACCACTCATTCGATATTCCAAGTGAAGTGTAACGAAATAGAATTAACTGATTTTTGAACCCGATGGAAATCGGACCCCCGTTAATTAATCGCCATGCACCGCTACTATTGGACCGAGAAAGAAATCATCGGAAGAATACTTCAGCTATTACGATATTCGCATTTTAGTAAAATTTTGACCGGGTTTTGGTAGCAATATATGGCTAATAACGACCGGGTCGTGGTTTAGATCCCCACCGAGTTCAAAATGTTTTTAATTAATTGAAACATCTGGTGATCTGCTAGAGATATCTGGACGGCCAAGAATCACCGTCCACAGATGAAAAAGCTGTCACGTTACCTTGCATCTCGGTTTCAGTCTGTGTATTTCCAAATATTCAAAGCCAAAATAGGTCGACAACACATCTTCTTAGATGTTATATACCTAGGGTAGTTTACCTACCTTCGAGTGAATCACGCGCTAGTCTGTCGTCCTCTATCATAAAAAATATTAAGATTCCAATATTGTAATAGATATTGGGAATGCGTGCACCCCTTTCGAATTAATAAACCTTAATGGATCCAGCCGAATCCCTGACAATTACGCTAGCATCATTACTCTCGCGTATCACAACTAAATCGACAATATCTGTACAGTCGCGTGCATTATAATCCCTTAACCGTCCGCCTACTGTGTCGCGTGAGAAGCGGATTTAATCGCGACGGGGTCCGATAGACCACTTAACAGATCGTGTCCGTGTCTTACGATTGATAGTCGTGAGGGGAGTTGAGAGTTAATTCGTGTTTGATGTCATCGTAGACACTTTACGCGATGGCGGAAGTGCAGTTTCACTTCATTACAATGACTATTCTATCAAGTGTATTATCATTGTAAAACGATTGTTCCATTTAACATTTTTATAGGATTATAAGTTTTTTTATTGATCGAATGTGTGTGTTAAATAATTCATATGTACCTGGAGTAACGTTAAATTCTTTTACATTACTGCAACGGCCAGCAAGAGAGGTATTGATAGACAACCAGATGAATGTATCAATGTCTTGGTTGTGGGCAAGACTTATATTAAAATATTTTCAACGCGCAACAATTCAGAACATTAAAGCCAATGAAGTAGTTGACAAACAACAAATAACAGTTTTTTACACGCCAAAGTATTTTAGTCTAATACGCAAGTCAGTTCGAAATTTAAATTAAACCTTCGATTACCTTTTTGGTTGCCATGTTGCGGGATATAAGATCGTTCCATTTTTAAATTACACGACGTAACGCATTTCCATACAATATGTAGTAAGTACATAGCAAAGTTCGATTTAACTCGAAGGACGCTGTCAAAATAATGAAATTCCCGAACACGTCGAGCCGTAGTTAAAAATAATTTTCAAACAAGAATAACTAAAATATACCGCGTTTTGAACCGTTAAAGAGTTTCTATAAAGTAAGATTAAAACCATATTATTATTTTAGTTGGAAGGCTATAAATATATATTCAAAATTAAATTCGTCCATACGCACATTCACTGTGATCGGCAAATTTTTGATAGACAGCCGTCCCCTGTTATTTTTAAGTTTTATTACCCTTTATCAAATAGGGTCGAAGCTTAAGGGATGTATAAATTATGGTTTGTTCTTAACTTTTGAATAAGCATTTAACATTTAACTATTTTGGAAAAAATTCAAGAGATCTTGCTTTTTAAAATAATGTCTATAAAATGTTTCTAAGAGGTATAAAATTCGAGCGTTTGGCGTCCATTTTGTTTAACACGACGCGTATTGAAGGGTGAAAAGCAATATAATAATCCGAGATGACAATAAATCATCTAATTTAGCGGCTAAACGCGAACGCCGAACAATTGCAGTCTGTGGTCGGATTTACCTCTGTTCAAATGACAGCTACACGTGCTTATTACGATAATATTTCTCTAAAATTATAAATGACATAGGGGGTTAGCTTCCTCAAGGGTATGAGTGTTCTAGAAGCCATTATGTAAGTATGTGTGCATCGGATCGATGTGGCTCGATGTAAACATTGGTTAGAACAATGGTGAAGGCGTCAATACAATGGACAATGCTCCTTCGATACGACAAATACATCCATCTAACTCACGTCTTATACGCTTGTTGCCATAATATTGTGTAATACGAATACATATAATGTATTCCTACATAGGTAGGTACACCTGTATAGATAGAACACTATTAACGGTAAAAAACGCGAAATATATTAGTTAACCTGTTTATTTATTTCAGATTCTTTGCAGTAGCTATGGTAATGAGGGTACTGAAACCTGTGTGGATGAGTTTAATAAACACTTTTGACTGTTTAAAACGCGAAATATATTAGTTAAACTATTTACAATTTATATTACACGGGGAACTGAAACCTGGGGAGGATTTTTTGATACTTTAAGAGGAGTTTTAAGAACTTTAATTGCGTTCGCATGTTTTTTATTAATCTGTGCATAATTAAACATTTCGTATAAAATACAATAACATAAGATATGTGTATTGTTGTAATGTATTGGTAGAACTTTACTTCCAACGTTCTATCTCCTTTCTTTAAAAATCTACTTCTAAATAATATAGATATTGTAATTAAAGTTAGTCCTCCCATCTGTAGACGATCCGAGCTATATCTATGAGTTCACAAAACAATTTGGAATGTTTAAAATTAATATGGATTAAAATCTCCATTATATTTATTAAACTAGTACATTTTTGATTACATATACATCAAAAACCATCGATTATTATTATAGAAAATAACAGCTTTAATATAGGAAATACTGTTTTATGTCAAGACTCAGAATAATGGCTTTTCTAACAGATGTCCACTGGCAAAGCTCATATAAACGAAGGCGTGGTTGCAATAGATAAGTAGATTTGTGACAGTACGCCGACGATTTGACATAAATTTGTGAGCGCAAACACCGTTACTAGCAGCTTAGCTTCCGTGCAAACAGGGGCCGCGCTGGAAGGACACCAGCGATCGAGGGGTTAATATTTTGTACGAAATATGGTTTATTCCCTCGTTCATAATGCTTCTAAAACCTAGTTTTCTTGAAATGCGCTTAAATGTTGACTGTAGTTTACGTGAGTTGACATTGAAATTAAATTAAAAATAAAACACTTTGAACGGTTTAAAACTCGCACTTATTTGCCTCAAACTTAAACCATTTATTTTAATAAGACACATATAATATGATAAAAGAAACTTAAGTATGGAAGAAAGAAAAATTAGATGAGTAGAGGGACCTACCCTGAGTGAGTGCACCCCCTCCTCCCCCAAGGAGTGACCAAGAACTAAAGAACTACAAACTATATTTTTTAGTAAAAAAAAGTTTCGGACTATCTGTGGTCACGATGACACAAACATAGATAATAATTGTTTTTCATAATTAATGACATCTTTTTATCACAATTAATGATAACGGATGATTCGAGATTGAATCTAACATTTTTAGGGTCGCGTAACTACTTAATGGTTGAAATGGGAACCTATTACTAAAATTTCGCTGTCTGTGTGTATGTAGCCCATCTCCAAAGACACTCTTTGTTACACACCCAAAGGCCTAAGGAAATCTTAACGGCTTACGAGACTTGCTTGAGACGCTATGTAGCTAGCCTGTGGTTTTAGCAGAAATTGTGTGCGTTTTAAATTAATTTTAATTTTATTTACCTTTTCACTCATTTCCCCTTTTCGCCTTTGCGGAAGATATCTTAATTTTATTGGGTCGACTATGTTCCAACAATCTTAAGGAATAAAGAAAATGCTTATTAAGACAAACTACTTGACTTATAAGGATTATATATTAGACTACTATAACGTATATATTTATTTACGGAGGATTACTTAAAACACGACTCAAACGCACCCGAGACAGACTTCGTCGAGTTCCATGACCTGGTGCAGAGGAAGGCCAAATGACCCCATAAAGGCTCGGTTAAAAGAACATCCGTATCGCATATGCATAGCTGCGCGTGCGCAGTCCTGGAAGCGGGTGCGTGTGCCACAATGCAGCGGAAGACCGCCGCCCCCGGCAGCTGACATTGCCATCTTGAGACTGGTTTCTAATGAACGCGGATTTGTGGACCTTTATAAATGTAATGAGGAATTTATTGAGCCACCCTCTGTTGCTACGCGAAATACTAAACGATTTAAAATTCACCAAAATATAACTGTAGCTTACTCCACACTCAGTACACAGTAAATAAAACACTTTTAACGGCTTAAACGCGAACTTATTTAAGTTGATTAAGAATAACTTAAAAATTCGACGTGCTTACGTCTTTACTACGACTTACGTGCTTTAGCCTGACTAAAGCTTAGAGAACGTCGGATCAAAGGAAAGGCAAATCTACATACTTATTAAATGTCGGACATTTGAAGTGGTATCTGCATTAAAAAAACGAAAGCGCTGTTTAGACTTCACAGGCATTTCAAGTCCAAGCTTGTAGCGTCCTCTATCATAAAAAAATCGATTAATTTAAGACCTCCCGCGCAGGGCTTTTAAGCCTCAAGTAACGGAGACAGCCTTGAAAAGGAAATTACTTGAATCATATTTTTTTTTAAATAAGGAATATAATTGTTTAGGTTTTTGTATAAAATAATTACAATCGCTAGTCATTGCTTGTTTGTGATACGTTAGAAAGATAATTTCTATCTGAAGCATCTTTAAAATAAACATTGGAATCGCATCCACACATCGTTATAGTAATGAGTGTGACTAACTTGAAACTAAATTAAAAAATAATAATATATATATTTTTATTTATTTTATAAGACCTTGAGATTTCGTTAACAAAGAGTCCGATAAATAGTCTCTTTTTCTAATTAGAAATCAATAGATACTGTTTATTTCGTATTATAGTCTATATTAGTTATCGGCAATCTTGCAAAGTTTGGGTTTGTGAATTGTTCGGCCTTCGGAATTGAGCAATGCTTCGACTAAACGAAGACTGTTTATCATCTCCTTACGATTTACCAGTTTGAAAACCGAAATAGCTTATTTTGGTACATGGCATAGGCTAGGGTACTATAATTTTATTAATTACATTAAAAAACGGCTTTCTATAAAAAATAAGGTAATATGTGTAACTATTTAACCTCCCCTCGCAACACTATTTTTTATAACTAATTTTATTATTGTTATCTTAGTTTTGATATTTATGAAAGTGCGCCTAATATTTTCAAACCGTCAGTCCCAGCTCTACGTATAGTCCATCCATATGCATTACCTCCCTAATATTCAAAACCGGTTTCTATTATCATAGAAGCGGCACGCGCATACAAAGATAAATATTACGTAGATAAGAACACGCGCCAAATTGAGTGCTGTAATGAATGTACAGAGCACAAAGCATACTTCTTAAATTACATGGTTTTGTATGAAGAGGAAGTAGGAAGGCAGCTGGCTCGCGTCTTTTTCTTCGATTTGGTAATGATGGTCTGTAGACCGCTTTGTTCCGGTCTCGAGTCGCGTGCCTCAACTATTTGAGACTATAAGTGGGTGGAAAGGTGTAGTATAGCTCAAGATGTTTTGATATTAGGGCCCATACCCCATATATCAATGTGATTATTATCATTACTTTTTTCATTTGCTGTCTCAATTAAGGGGACTTGGTGCGGACCTATGACGCAAACGGCAAGAATGTTTCCTGTGATTGGGTTATGGCGATAGTGTTTTGTTATTGTCATCAAAACTATTCACAATTATGTGTGAATGGAGTCGTGGATTGATTTGAAAGCGGTTGATAAGCGTCTGATAATGTCAAGGTTATAGATATGAATTAGAATTATTTTGTATTGTAGAGGTGTGCTTTGAAACCAAGATTCGTTTGACAGAGGACTGATTTATTTAGATTTTATTTATTATTTCTTAAAGCATCTTAATTACTGTCTACTTTGAGTTTAAAAAATTAAAACCAATAGTAAAATGAACTCAGATCAATATAAGAGTGAAATTTAATAGATCTATAAGAAAAATATATGAAATCCAATTCTTCTGTTGCAGGCAATGAAGACGACGGAGAAACAGCAAACAATGATGAAAACGCTGCTGGTATGTTTTTTTTTTCAACATCATCACTATATATTCATATATTGAAACTTAACTTCTTGTTGAATATCATTTAATATGACGTCACATATTTGATATCGGATGTGCAATAAATTATCAGATTGTGTAGGTCAAATTCTCTTTTAAATCGCCAGAACAAAGTACGGATGTGTTAACATCACCTCCATTTTCTGTATAATATTAACTAAGTAATTTCTATCTAAGTAAACTGGTAAAAGGTCCTGAAAAAAGCTCAATTTATTGAATAAAAAAGATACTACTATTTGAAACAATTTCAATTCAACTCTTACACAAGTCTTACACTCCGTGGGGCATTGGCGAACACCATTCTATGTCCGTTTCACGGATCGGTTCTTTTACAGGCAAATAGTTGATCATACTGCCCTGCCGAAAATCCGACGGAAACAATAGATTGTTTCCGTCGGATTTTAACCTCTCGCGTTTAATGCAATGATAGTCAACACATTTAACTGTTAAATAAAACACTTTAACGGTTTAAAACGCGATATATTAGTTTAACTTATTTGAAAATTATTTTTAACTTCGGCCCGACGTTTCGGATGCTTTGCAGCAGCCGTGGTCACGGGGCGACGGTGGGTCTTAAACTAATATATCGCGTTTTAAACCGTTAAAGTGTTTTATTTAAATGTGAGAGGCGGTTAAGTTTAATGCTAGAGATGTTACAATTAGATTTAAAATGGTACTTGAATATGTAGTTTATACTCTTTACTTATCTTATATCAGACGATAGCCACGTACAAAAAATATTGATGATCTTATCGCTAATAATTGTCTGTTCACGTGGGCCCCAAATAAATGAAATTATACCTTTGTCTAATCTTTGACTTTATCGTTTCGATAGCAGATGATTTGTCCTGTACTGTGCAGTGACTTGGTTTTGAATGGTGTGAGTGTTTGTGCTCGACGAATAAAATATATTGCAAGTAGGAAGGAAGGTTTGGGGTAAGTATCTGAATATATTTTGTGATTGAGACGTTTAGTTTTATTGTAAAACATGTTTTTAACGTTTTTTTTAAATATAATATTAAGTACTGTATATAAATTATCTATCACAAAAGTCACAAGTCGCGTGACGTAGCCTTCGAGCACTTGCAACGGTCGTTTTTCGTATAAACATTTATTACTGCGTGCATAGAAAATAAAATCTTGTAATTAGTACATGAAATTTTTCGAATAAAGAACCAATCATTGAAAGAACACAGTAATATGTCTGTCCCAAGCAGGAAAGACATATTACTGTGTTCTTATAAATATGACGTAAAGTTCCTTTTCTACGATAATTTTATTAAAATGATATTATTTTTATCAATTTTGTAACACGTGTTAAAATATTTGAAATAGATTCTTCTAGAATATTAACTATAGAAAGCTATTCATTTGACGTATCACAACACGGATATATTTAACTAACCCAAGTTTGCGTGAAGGTAAAGAAGGGAATTATTTAATCATGGCATTCGAAATACCGGGCTATAGTTAGAATAAATTAAGAATAACTTACTACTAATATACTTCGCCTTTTCTTAAATCTCTTAAAAGTGTTTAATTTAGATGCGTACTATTCGCGTAAACTACAGATCGAAATGTGGTTTGAAAGCTTGAGCTATATTTGCAAAATTTCATTAAAATCGGCTAAGTAGAAACTGTTTTCAAATGTAAATTTTATGATTACTATATTATTTCCTTTATCACATCCAAGTTTCAGAAATATTAAATGTTCTTTCTGATTCTGCGCTATTTACTTTGCATGGAAAAGTTAAATTGTTTTAAGAAATAGTTGTATTACAATGAGTATATTACACAGGTAGATTTAATATGAAAAGTAGTGTAATTAAATAATAAAATAATCATTCGTATTAAAAGACTAATTGTGTCTTGGTGATAAACAATACAGTTTTCCTTGAGCCCGGCCTCAACGCAAATCAAATTTATCAAGTGTTTGTCAGTCTGACGTTCTATTTATAATCTGTATAAGTTTTTCCTCGGTTGTAATATTTGATAAGGCAAGTATCGGTTTTATTTAGTTTCAAATTATCCTGCACGTTATTGATTGATATTTTTTTAGTGTGTAGTTTTCATATTTATGGATAATTTTTGGATTTTTTACTGAAACATAAATGTACTAGCTTACGTGGCAAACGTTCTTTTGCCGTATATATATATAATAATATATATACGTATTTTGTCAAAATTTGATTATCATAAAAACTGTTCTAGTGAAATTATCTTAAAAGATAGACATTAACTGTCATAGACATTTTGAAGTTTTTTCTTTATAGAATACATCTTTCATACAATTTTTTTGGGTATCTTGAACTATTTTCGTAACAGAAACCCTCAAAGATTTCTGTGAAAATCACGAACCTTCAGCGAACCTATTGCTTCGCTTTTGTTTCAAAATTCCTTCTGTTTCTTTGCTCCTATTGGTCGCAACCTGATTTTTTGTACCCTAAAGCCTTTCTCGATAAATGCTCTAATCAAGACAAAAATATTTTTTCAATTCGAACCAGTAGTTTCTGAGATTATCGCGTTAAAACATACAAACAAACAAACTCTTCAACTATATAATATTAAAAACTGTCTATAGTTTACGCGAGTAGTACACATTTAAATAAAACGATTTAAAACGCGATATATTAATTAAACTTATTAGAAAATGATTTTTAACTTCGTTCTTCAGCCGAACACGGCTGCTACAAAGCAAGCCAAAAGTTTAACTAACATATCGCGTTAAAGTGTTTTATTTAAATATATAATATTAGTATATTTTCTAAATTATCACTAATACTACATGCATAGGTAATATTATTATTCTCTGGATTTGCAAATTTTTTATATTGCTAGGATATTTTACCTTCCATCAAATGAACCGTCTTTATCTGTATTGTAAAAAAAAATATCTTGACAAACTACACGAATACATACGTACCTTCTGATTATCAGAAGGGCAAAAGAAAATCAATTTTTAAATAAAAGGAAATCCCTTTTTAATAGTTGATTATTTTTTTATTGAAAGAACATAAATGTAAAGATTACGAAACTTTATTTATTATAAGTGCCATTTCATTTTCCGCGCAGTTGGTTAAGAAATAACAGAATCGTATTGGTCGTCAGTTCTCTTCCCGGTCGTTACCATATGTCATTAATAGCGCTCGTAAACCGTCTCGGGTCAGCGTAAGCGGAATTCAGTAGAAAGCACGTATAGCGATAAAACTCCTGTCTTATAAACGACACACGGGCCTCGACATAACAGACTAATTAAACATACAGGCTTATTAAAAAAGCGATTGTTATAAAGTCCTATATCTAGTAATATATATGGAATTGTATCTATAATTGAAAGATTTTTTTTTATTGATACATTCAAACCAGGTTTTGAGTATTTTGGAAATGATTATTTATCACAACCTAGTTCTTATCAGATTTTGTTAAACAACTATATAATGTTGTTCGACTTCGTTTAGTATTTAAATAAAACACTTTAACGGTTTAAAACGCGATGTTTAAAAAATATTTTTACCTACGGCCCGACGTTTCGGATGCTTTGCAGCAGCCGTGGTCACGGGGAGACATAATAAGAATAATTTTTAAACAAGCTTAAAGTGTTTTAAACCTTTAGAGTGTTTTATTAAAATGTGTACTATTCGTTTAGTATTTTAAGCTGTTTTTATGTGTACACGTACGTATTTGAAAAAACACAAACCGTTCTTTATCAAAAGTGACCTCAAAATCTTATAATTGGAACTCTTATCAGAATTTTGAAAATAGAATAGGTGTAAAGTACGTCTTGACGTAAGTATACTTGTAGAACAAAGCCATTTTTATTCGTTCCTAACTTAATCTATATAAAATTGTCCTTAATATTAATAATTATTTCATTTCAAATATGAAACAAAAATATTTAGCTATCTATTTTCAATACTTCAAAGTGTATGGTGTTTTTAAAAAGTAACCCATGCCAATTAGCAATAAAGAGAACGCGAATAAAATATTATAACCTCGTCTCTGACGATTCGTTATGGCTTCTAATTAAAATGAAGAGAGGTCTCAAGTCAATAAATCGTTTCACATGCTAACCGTACATAATTGTATTATACAAACGTTTCCACTTTCATTATGTAATACAATCTTATATTAAGGCTTCCGTATTTTAATTTCACAGGCATACATGAGATATTTTAAAAAGGTTAAAATTTTAACACGATAAAAGAGGTCACCGGGACTTTAGGGGGTAATATTTTGGTGTCAGCTATAAGTGTTAATATAATATTTCTTTTTATATAATAATGAGACCTACTTATTTTTTCAATATGTTGTAATTATTTTATAACTTTGATAAAAATTTACACAAAACACTGTGATAAGTCTTCTTGTATTAAAATGGGTTTTCCCATTTTGTTAGCTATTAATCCGGATACGGAAAGATATTAATAAACTTTTTGTCGAGCGATAGTAAAATTTTAAGTTTCGAGTTTCTTAGTCCAGGATAAAATCACATTTCTCCTATGTATGATTTAGTTAGACGTGTGTATAAAATTGATAGGGTTTGAAATCAAAATTTAATTAAGTATACATAATTTTTTATATACCTGCAACAGAAATAAAGATACTTTTAAGAACATAAAGTTTATATGAGTTATTTTATGTAATATTGTTAGTTGAATGGCGTATGAATATTTAAATATATATTATACATAAGGGTGGCGCGTGCAACAGTTTTACATGAGGACCAGCACCAATTAGAAGCAATACCAAAACCATCGGCTCAAGTGCCATCATTATCTCGACAGCAACACGGGAAGCTAACTCTTCCGCCCCGGCAATTAAGCATAAACTCCAATAAAAAATTCACGGCATTTCGGAGACAAGTGGAGTGAGCAATCCTGAAGTATGGGGTTGGGACATAGTTAAAGCGTTTAGGTCGAGAGTCGTTGAGGGAACAGCCTTTTGTGGATTTTTCTATCGTTTTCGAGGCAGAGCCATTTTATCAATTCGAGGGGAGTTTGACAAACCGTGCGGATGTGTAGAGGGAAACGGTTTCTGTGACATTACTCCCACTTCTGATGTTATGGATTCGTTGCGTAGACTATATAATATAACATCGTAGGTACATAGCCAATTAGTAGGGGTTTGCGATGCGTAATTAGATCTAAAGATTTGCTTTAATAGCGCACTCGCAATTCCTCTTTATTTTGTACTAGTTGTGTCAGCGACTTTGTCCGCGTAGAATAGTTATTTCGGGCATCTAATTTGTTTGCCTTTTTTTCCACATTTTCCGCTGTTCCTTCGCTCTTATTAGTCGCAGACTGATTTTTTAATGACTAGAGCCTTTCTCGATAAATGATCTAACACAAAAATGAATTTTCAATTCGAACCAGAAGTTCCTGAGACTAGCACGTTCGAACAAACAAAAGTAACTTTTCAGCTTTATTTATTAGTATAGATGTACGAAATGTATGCAAACACAAATAAAAAAAAACCTATAGAGCTCCATTTCCATAGATTTTAAATGAAAATTAATTTATCAGCTGATGTATCGTTAAGTGCTTATAAATTTGAAATCGTATAAAGTACATACATCCTCACAAATTGTCATGTTTTTCGTAACTTCCATTTATTTATCGATGAAACGTCACACTAATAACTACAATGTATTTACAATGTACTAAATATGTACTTGTTCATAAAACAAATGAATAATGATAAATAAAAAATGAACCGTCACATTTCATAAGAATTGTATTATGAATGTTTGTTATCATCGATAGCGTCTTATCAATGCCAATGGTGAGCGATACAAGGAAATGTATCTATATATGAATGTACTTAGAATACTTTGTCTTGATTACTTGGCGGATTACTTAAGCCGTTGATCGTTCTAATAGGCGAGTTGTGTAAGTCACATTTGACGGGCTCGTTCAACGGTTCGTGGGTTCGATCTC